ATTACTTGCCCGTTTATTGTCCAAGAGTACAATAAACATATGGGAGGAGTAGATCTCATGGATAGCTTTTTGGGCAGAAATCATATAACAATAAGGTCTAAAAAGTGGTACAGTCCTCTCAACTTAANGCAACCCATCATAAAACCCTTAAGAAGTAATAAAACTCCAACACCTTTATTAATAAAAGTTACACCCTAGTTGAACTCTGGCTTAAATTGTCATTTGATATGGAAATGTCATTTTAGTCCAAGGTTCATCCTAGGTATAACTTTTTATTAATAAGGGGGTAACTAGTAGTACTTCAAATAAAAACATTTATTTCACAATTATCCCTATCAATAAATTATAGAGTTAAGGAAGGCTGGAGCAGTAAACCCTTCATGCCTCGCATAACCTAAGTACCATACGATGGACACGTATGATATTTCGGTTACACAAAAAGTATGTTTATCTTNTAGACTTCCTTTTAATAAAACATTAATTTTATTTGTATGTGTTTTACTAACGGTACTTTTGGCGATCACTCACACAAATGCAATTCTCAGCTTAAGTTGATAGTATTATACTTGCGTATATTTTATCATTTATTTGATCTAGCTATTATAAACTCTTGGATTATATATAAAAAAAATGCTCAAGAAAGAGGTGAAACCAAAAAGAGTCTACTTACAATGGGCCAATTCAGAAATGAATTGGCTTTTGTGCTATGCAACAGAGGACCAACCAAAGACGCTAAAAGAGGTCGTCCTAGTACCAGTTTACTAGAAGAGAAATTACTATCAAAAAGAAGAAAAGGTTCTCCAGCACCACCACCTCCAAAAGACATAAGAAAAGATGGTGCTGAACATTGGCCAACAGTAGGTGGGTCACTCCGGTGCAAATTTCCCAAATGTAAAGGCTATTCCACAATTTCGTGTAGTAAATGTGGCGTCAATTTGTGCTTAAATAAAAATAATCATTGTTTTTTAAATTATCATAAAAAATAAAGAAGATTGAGTAAACAATATTTTTTTATTTATTTAGTACTGAGCTAAATATGTGACATGCATGATGATGTAAAGGATGATGGGCACAAATGTATGGAAAGTGGTACCCGCTCCAATAGCCATAACCAATATATATTTCAAAAGGCCTTTTGATGTAGAAAAATGTCTGCTATGGGGCCAGTTCTAACTCACGTTTTGAAAGCAGTAATTCCATTAAGTATTATATGAAAGTATAACACAATCATCCATGTATACGAGTATGTGCTATGACTAGAATCTATTAATATAACCAAAATAAACATTGAAAAGGAAAGGATTATACCTACGATGAACTACCCAAGCTATTAGCCCTTTATTCGCTTTCATCATCATCATCATGATCATTTTAGCCATAGGACGTCCAGTTGAACATAGGCCTCCCCCAATGATTTCCACAATGGCCGCTTGGTGGCGGCCTGCATCCAGCGCCTTCCCGCTACCTTTATGAGGTCGTCGGTCCATCTTGTGGGTGGACTTATTGGGTCTTGTGGGTTTATTCGCTTTAGCAACCCATCATAAAACCCTTAAGAAGTAATAAAACTCCAACACCTTTATTAATAAAAGTTACACCCTAGTTGAACTCTGGCTTAAATTGTCATTTGATATGGAAATGTCATTTTAGTCCAAGGTTCATCCTAGGTATAACTTTTTATTAATAAGGGGGTAACTAGTAGTACTTCAAATAAAAACATTTATTTCACAATTATCCCTATCAATAAATTATAGAGTTAAGGAAGGCTGGAGCAGTAAACCCTTCATGCCTCGCATAACCTAAGTACCATACGATGGACACGTATGATATTTCGGTTACACAAAAAGTATGTTTATCTTCGAACGCAACCAGATCTGAGGCTGGTGGCCATAGTAAATGTTGTTCGTCTTGGTAAGACCTTTCAAATGACACTACAAACATAACTATTGGAGCCGGGTACCATATTGCAAAAAAGTATGTTTATCTTCGAACACAACCAGATCTGAGGCTGGTGGCCATAGTAAAAGTTGTTCGTCTTGGTAAGACCTTTCAAACGACACTAGAAGCATATCTATTGGAGCCGGGTACCATTTTGCCCATTGTCCTTTCCATCATATTGTTTTTTACATAATACATATTTTTATTTACATAAGGATTTTTTAAAATATTTTTCCTTTTATCTAGAGCATTAATTACATCGCCCTGATTTATTTAAAAAAAAAAAATAGCAAAAATCATGCAAAGTAGGGTTAAATCCTTGCAGCTTAGGTATGTAGGGTCAGTACATGGGGGGAGTTGATTCCAAAGATCAAAAGCTAACCATGTTACTCCTTGAGAGAACACACGACAGTCTGGTATATTAAAGCCTCAGTTCTAGATGTGAATAAAATTTAAGACTGCAACGAAATGTTAAAAAATCATGGAGGCCAAAGTGAAGAGAATCATAGTACAAAGTGTGTCAGACCAACGTATAAAAGGGAGCTCAAGTTACCATAAAAAGGCTTTTGAAAAAACTGCCTATGTGGGGAAATGTAATGAATAAATATTTTAGTGAAGCTAAAGAAGTGGCTACTAGCTCGAATGTTGAAAATCATTTTAAAGACATCAAAACGATCTATTTTAATACAAAAACAGAACGAATTCGCTTAGACGAGTTTCTAATATAACAATACAGTACAGTATGCCACCAACTTATCTGTTCAGGTGGTCAAATGAAGAACTAGCGACGCCATTTTGAAATGTCATTCCGCTGTCAGTTTTGATTAGTGTGAGTGCTCTTTGTGATTTATTTTACTTTTGTGGTAATAAGTGTTTCTACAATACCTAAAGGCTGTAAAAAGTGATGCACGAATAATTATACTAAAAGTATTAGCTTTTATGAAGGATGAAAAACGTGCACATTAGCCAATAATACCATTCGAAAAGCTGTATGAACGCGTTGCTGCAGCGACAAGTCAGTGTTGCTAGATACAAGAAAATCAACTCCTAAGAGGATTAAAAAAAAATTATGGGAACATTAAAGCTTCAATTAAAATATGTATGTTATTATGGACTACCTAAATATACAATTTGCGATATTTGACATTTAAGCCGTATTTCTAATCTCGTCAAATTCGACATTTTAATTCCAATAACTTTAAAAAATTATAATTATAATTATCTTTATATTTAGTTATCTCATTTATTTCAGGTGTTTCTGAGCAATTCTTACACAAATCAGTTAATGAACAAAAATTGGCTCAAGAAGGTGGCACTAAACTTGAAACACCAGGCAAAAAGAGAAACAGGACTTCAGGTAAAATTGAAATGGACGACTTCGATATAGGTGTTATTAGAAGAAAAATTAATGAATTTTACTCTATAAAAAAGAAATACCAACTATTCCAAAATTACTGAACGTACTACGTGAAGAAGTAAATTTTAAGGGCAGTCGTGAAACGCTTCGCAAATTGTTAAAAAAAAATTGGATTTAGAAGAACGCAAACAAACAGAAAAGTTATTTGCGAACGGAATGATATATGTGCTTGGAGAGCATCATATTTACAGAAAATTAAGGATAACGAGCGTGAAAATACTAAACCTGTAATTATTTAGATGAAACTTAGGTATAATATACATTCATCACACTCGACTGGAAAATGCTGGCAAGGTCCTGAAGAAGATGGTGATTTAGAGCCAGTTGCAAAGGTCACAGATGGATCATTGTACATGCAGGCGGCGAAGAAGGCTTTGTAAAGGATGCCCTTTTGGTATTTAAATCCAATACTAAAAGTGGCGACTACCACGACGAATAAATGAATAGCACGAATTTCAAGAAATGGTTAACCGAAAAGTTATTGCCAAATTTGCAGTAACCGTCTTTGATCGTAATGGACACATCATAGCATATGCATTAACCGAAGCCCCAACTCAAATTACAATAAGGCTGATATGCAAAAGTGGCTTTTAGAAAGGGGCGTGGAATTTTCAGCACAAATGACAAGGCGTCAGTTATAATGAATTAATTAAAAATAACAAGCCCGTGCCAGAGTACGAGATTGACAAAATAATAAAAGAAAATGGGCATCAAATACTACGTCTCCCACCGTATCACTGTGACTTGAACGCCATAGAAATGATATGGAGTTCGATGAAACGAAAAGTGGCAGAAACAAATGTTTCAAAGTCAAGTGCTAACATGCCTGATTTAATTTCGGATGCGTGCGGTAAGATCTCATCAGCTGAATGAATGAAATACTGCCATCATGTGAAAAATCTTCATGAAGAGTACAGAAAGAAAGATGCACACTTGGATGAGCCGTTTATCATTACATTGCTTAGTGAAAGCGAGAGCAGCGACTCTTGAAGACGATATGCAGTGTGATCCAATAAGTAGCAGTATCCCTGGGGTTCGTCCACTGACAATGTATCATGACGACCATACATACTGTTATAAAATATAAATAAATTTGTTGACCCATTTTATGATTTTTCATTAATATACGCAAAGGTAATTCCATTTATTTAAGCAAGTACATAGTAAATGTTTAACTCATAATTGTGATTAAACTGTACCACATCATTGCAAAATATATTTAAATGGCAACACTTGATACGACCACAGCGACGTCGCCACCTGAACAGATAAGTTGGTGGCACTGTACCTAATTAACTGCATCATTATATTTTTGAAAGGAGACAACATTTTGCCAGGATAACGCACTCGACATTCACTTTACTGATAACCATAAATCCCAATTAGAAGGTTTTACTTCAAACTCAAACGATACATTTGCTGCCCATTTTTGCTTTTTATGGTGAAGGGAGGGAGTGAAGATTATTTAAAGCAGCCAATTGCGTATTGGTTTACGAATAGGTATCCTCAAAAGTGATTTGAAGGACCAACAATCAACATATACAAGAAAAAAACACGATTTTTGCACCGTTTTTTCTGATAACGGAATAGACTCCTTCATGCGCAAGTTCCACGTGAGCTCGGCTGGTTCTTATTATAAATAATTGTGAAATATATTTTAATTTCAATTATTGCGAGTGTTGTGGCTTAGAAACAATTAGGCAGTTAAGAATAAACAAGGCTCGGGCACTATCAAACCGTTTTCCTAAAAAGCAAAAAGCTGCTTCTGCTGCATCACAAGATTTATTTGATGACTTTCAGGTAAGTTAATAGTGTAGGTCACTGAGTAAAGTAAAATAAATATAGAGGTGGGAGGATATACCTACACCTACATACATTCACAATACTTATTATTATTTGAATATTTGTCTAAAAATAAAATAAGTATTATTATATTTCTCTTATTAAACTCAGTTAGCTCAGATGGTAAGAGCGCGACAACGGAGAAGTCGAGGATGTAGGTTCAATTCCTGCATGTGGTGTATTTTTCCCCTATTAACCGTGGTCCCACCGCTAAGACCCACTGGTGGGTCCACAGGTAATTTTTTTTCCCTGTAGACTAGAGATGAGACGTATTTACTAGAACAGATCCACACACTAGGTATTTTACAGTACTAAGTGGCACCTATTCCAATTTCTAAAATTCTTGATCCACCTAGTATTTTTTAAATTACACGATTTCCGACCCTACCATCAAAGTAATAGAGGTTATTATTGCATAATCCGTAGTCGTGTATTACGCGCACCGCGTATTTCTCGCTAAGCTTATGTGCGAACGTAGAGATTCACTCCGTCTCTGTCTGACAAACAAATTTGAGCGCAGGCAGGTGTGAGATAGGAATAGGTGTTTGATGTATTACGTAATTTAAACTCTATTTGTACACAGGTAAGGTTTTGAATATTTTAATTTTTGTTCTCTCTCATCCAGCTCACTCCTTGTTGACTAGCCGGTAAAAAACCAGTTTTTATTCTTCCGACAGGTTTGTTTTGGTTTGTTGTCACGCGTCCGTGATAATTGCATAATTTGTATTGAAATAGTAATTTGATAATTAGATTAAATTGGAATAGTTTTCGAGTGTTGATTAGATAGAATTTAACTCCTGTTTCTGAGAAGTTACCAACTTATTTGTGACTTTAGTGAGTGTTATTGAAACTGTGAACTGTGAGTAAAAGTTATGGCGCCAAAAGGCAGTAGTGCGGCATGGGACCACTTTACCGATAAAGGAAGTTATATAGCGGAGTGTAAATTATGCAACAAAAAACTTAGTTTCAAATCTTCGGTGTCAAACTTGACGAAACATTTAAAATTAAAGCACCCGCTACTGAACATAGTTCCAAGGAATCAGGTGCCTCCCCTGCCCTCTCTCGCGGAAACTACTCGATCTAGTGCTCAACCTGAACAACAGCAGCAGAACTTGCCGTCTACTTCGACTGAAATACACCAATCTGGACCATCAACGTCCACAGTGCGTGTGGTACAGTCAGGCTCAAAAAACATTGCATCATATATTTATAAAAGGAATGCAGAGAAGTGTAAGTCTGACATAGATGATTTAATTATGGACTTATTTATTTTAGATTTTCAGCCTTTTCGAATAGTTGAAGACAAGGCATTTAGAAAATTAATTCAAACTGCATTTCCCTTTTATATTATTCCATCAAGGAAATACTTTACTACTAAATTATTAGCATTTACTACCGAGTCGATTTGAAAGTGTGCGAACGTCTAAAATAAAACAAATCAAAGATAATGTTGAGTCGATTTGTGTCACAGCTGATGTGTAGACATCGAGCACAAACGACGCTTATTTAGCTGTAACTGGCCATTACATCGAAAGGGAAAACTGCATCCTAAAATCCGTTTTATTGGACTGTATTGTTCTTGTGGGCTCGCATACAGGTGTATTACTGGCAAGTCAGATATTAAGTATCACCGATGAGTAGAATATTACAGACAAAATAATATTGGCAGTAACAGACAATGGAGCTAATATAAAAAAAGCTGTAGAAAAAGAATTAGGCTGGAGACATTTTGGTTGCTACGCCCACTCACTAAATTTAGCTATCCAAGATGCAATGAATTTATCTGCAGAACTAACCGCCCTAATCGAAAAAGTGAAAGCCATTGTTGGCTATTTTAAAAGATCTACTAAGGCTTGGGAGAAACTTAAAAAATTCCAAATACAAGCAGACAAATCCGTAAAAAGGCCTTTGCAAAGTGTATGTACTCGATGGAACTCATTATTCTACATGCTTGAGCGGATGTTAGAAATCAAAGAAGAAGTTAACAGTGCTCTATCCAATCTTGACTCAACTGCCTTATCTTTGAGCCAAATAGAATGGGAGATCTGTGAACATGTGTGTCACATTCTGAGACCCTGCGAAGAAGTGACTAAGGAGATCAGCGGTCAGAAATATGTTGCAGGCAGCATGGTTATACCTATTACCACAGGACTAATATCATGTTTAGAAAATTTGGATAGCAGATTATACCACCCTACTGCTCAATGCTTGCAACAGGATTTGATTTCAAAGTTAAAAAAACGATTTGTTAACTTGGACAAAAGCCGTATTTTCACTAGAGCCATGTTTCTCGATCCAAGGTTTAAGCTGTATTTTGAAGATCCAACTGTGGCCGAAAACACTAAACAGAGCATTATACAGTCAGTTACCTCTTTGATAAATAAAGAAGATCGGAAACAACCCATAGCCCCTGCTGCATCTGAAGAGGAAGAACAACCACGTCCAAGTGCATCCAGCAGTACATTTCGATCAATTTGGAACCATTATAACAAAAAAATGCAAAATATACAACCAAAGGGGACTGGGCAATCTAGAGCAATAATTGAGGTTCAGAGATACCTAGAGGACAAAATAATAATGCCAGATAAAAATACCTCTCCTCTTAATTGGTGGAAGGAGCACAGAAATATTTACCCTCATTTGTACACTCTAGCTGTGACAACGCTAAATACCATGGCTACGAGTGTACCATGCGAAAGGATATTTTCGGCATGTGGAAATTTAATTAATGATACGAGGGCTGCACTAAAAGTATCGGGAATGGAATATTTCCACTGTTCCAGTCATATTAAAATCTATTTAATTGCAAACTCCAGGGTTTCAAAAATCGTATACCATTTATTTATTTAAAAAAAGATTCTCGGTCGTATCACAAGGTCTTGTCAAACTTGTTTAGTCGTTGAGAAAATGGAATTGTCTCGAGAAAATTCATGAGCGATGATTTATTATGACTTTTGAAGTGGTTTAACACAAAAACAGTGTGTTGACCGGATGATTTCTGCATTTGGTAATGAAGCCCCATCCAAAACCACAATTTATCGCTGGTTTCCTGAATTTCAACGTGGACGTGTCAAGCTCAGTGATGATCCCCGTCAAGGTCGTCCAAAAACTGCAGTCACCTAAGAAAACGTTGATGCTGTGCGTAAGCTGATTGAAGAAGATCGACATGTGATATACCGCGAAATTCAGGCAACTTTAGACATTGGCATGAGTCAAATACAAATAATCTTGCATGAACAATTAGGTGTAAAAAAGTTGTTTTCCCGATGGATACCGCATGCGCTCTGTGAAGAGCAAAAAGCGGCTCGCGTTACTTGGTGCGTCAGAACTCTCGGGAGATTACATGCAGGATCCTCAAATGCTGTATACAACATCGTATCAGGTGACGAATCATGGATATACGCGTACGAACCCGAAACAAAAAACCAGTCACGAGTTTGGGTGTTCGAAAATGAATTAAAGCCAACAAAAATTGTTCGTTCACGGAGTGTTGCAAAAAAAATGGTGGCCACGTTTGTCTCCAAAACCGGCCATGTTGCGACTATTCCTCTTGGGGGACAAAGAACGGTTAATGCAGATTAGTATGCTAGCATTTGTTTGCCACAGGTCGTTTCTGAACTCCGTAAAGAGAACTGCAACCGCCGCATCATCCTCCATCACGACAATGCGAGTTCTCACACCGCGCACTGAACAAAAGAGTTTTTAGAGCAAGAAAACATAGAATTATTAGTCCATCCGCCGTACAGCCCCGACCTAAGCCCTAATGATTTCTATACTTTCCCTAAAATAAAGAATAAATTGCGTGGTCAGAGATTTTCATCACCTGAAGAAGCTGTGGAAGCCTACAAAACGGCCATTTTGGAGACCCAAACTTCCGAATGCAATGTTTGCTTCAATGATTGGTTTCGTGTATGGAAAAATGTGTCAAATTTCGCGGAGAATACTTTAAAAAGCAATAAATACATTTTTAAATAGTAATGTTGTTTCACTTCCTTGATTCCCGAAATTTTCAGTGCCGCCCTCGTAGAAGGACTAGGTTGGGTTGCAGAAAAGTACAGCAGCTTATGTTCCTAAATCAGAACACAGATTAACTTATTAAACGATTAAGATGTATATAGTGTAAAAAAAAGAGAATAAAAATAAACTAAGTTATTAAAAAAAAAAACAAAAAAACTAAAAAAATAGAAAAATATATGTAAATATTTTTATGAAATTGATATCTTTTAAATACGCCAACTTTTAAGTTGACAGTCCTAAGCCTGTTGAAGTATGAAGGGAGGATATCAATCAATCAACAGCCAGCAAAAACATTATTATTCAATTTCAAATTGCATTATTAATACTACGGTTGTATCTTTTCAAAGAAAATTGTATTTTAAAATTTTAAAGTCATAATACGTGGATTAGTCCGCACTAGTCGCGTCAAGAATGGTAAATTACTACGTACTAAGTGGAACAGGTATTTGGATCACGTATTAATAAATACTTGGAATAGGTGCACCTAGTATCAAATTTACCTAGTATAACCCATCTCTACTGTAGACCCACTGAACTACAGTGGGTCTATCTACGGGTAATAGAAACAAAACCGCCTTTAAAACCGTGGACCCACGCTGTCATGTTGAAAATGTATGTTGAAGGTTAAAAATAATTCACGCATTAAAACGAGATCATTGCTCGCAATTGAGAATGACGATTTCATAAGGAAAATTCAGATGGAGCTCATTGCGGCCGACATTACTGTTGGTGATGCATTAGAAAAATGAAGATAAGCACTAATGTAACCTATTAATAATTATAATTATTTTCTATTAATTCAATTACGATAAGAATTTATGAAAGATTTTAGTTTGAATAAATGTGCTTATATTTTTTTTCTTTGTTCTCAGTAGTTCCATGTAGCTTTTTCGACATGGAATACTGAGAAGTTAAAAAAAATGAATATTTTGCACCATTACTTTCACTTCTTTCACATGGAACGTAGCAGTTATTTAGCCAAACAACGTTTACTGTCTTTGAAAAGAAAAACAAATGAAGTCTGCCAAAACAAATAAATGTTGATTAAATAAATGAAAATCTAATAAGGGTTATTTTTTTAGCACACATTTGTTTTTTTCGTCAAATGGCGAATAACGGTCGGACGATAAAAAAGCACATTTTTGTCATTATCTCTAGTATAGTGGCTCAACGAACGGGGAAAGAAAAAGTTAAAGAAATTACCTAATAACCACCGGAACAGCCAGATTGAATAGGATAAAAACTATTGCAGTGGGTCTATAGAGAAAATAATTACCTGTGGACCCACCAGTGGGTCTTAGCGGTGGGACCACGGTTAAAAAACTATTGCAGTGGGTCTACAGGGGAAAAAAATTACTTGTGGACCCACCAGTGGGTCTTAGCGGTGGGACCACGGTTAATAGGGGGTATTTTTCATCACATGCTTTAAATTATCTATTCATAAATATATTTCTCTTGTAAGGTTGATAACGAAGAGTTGACGCTAATCGAGGATTCATTGATGATTGATGATGCTTCTTCGGACAACAAGAAAAAACAGCTACTGTCAGTCAGCCAGCAGTGATGATGCTTCTTCGGACAACAAGGAAAAACAGCTGCTGTCAGTCAGCAGTGATTTTATTTCTTTAGAAGAAGAGAAAGAAAACATATCAAATGGCGGGCAGACCCCCGAAGAAACGTAAATATTCAAGCAGGTTTAGTACAGAATGTAAGCCCCCCAGGACTAACTATTTATACACTCAGCGGCACGGAATTTGGCCCAAGCCTAAACACCCAGATATAAGGCCAAATAGGTGTTGTATACCTAAGTTTTGTGTAACATGTTAACAGAACATTTGCTTTTGTTAATTTAAGAGGCTAGATTAATAAAAAAATGCGTCTGTTTAACTTTTTTTTGACTCTAGAAACGCATTTCGTTGTTGGAGCGTAAAGAGTACGGGTAAGTTTAACCGCCTTTTACACAAGAAGACCAAAAAGTGGCGAATTAAGGTATATGCCAGCGCGTGATGACCCGATTATAGTGCTTGCAATTAGGGATTGCAATTGCTGGATCCAGCATCCAGCAATCCAGCTGGATCCAGCGCCTTTTTAAACATGCTGGATCCAGCAATGCGGATCCGCAAACGTAGGGGAGGTGAGCCCAAAGCGGGTATACCGCCCAAAGCGGGTAGCCTTCGTTATTCACGTATACAAGCCGATAGTGCACATGTGTGCGTTTCGTGGCAACGTCCGAACTCGTTTCGACACGAATCAGTTTTGCTAAAACATCGGCGACGCGCGGCGGAGATCCGAGACGCGAATGTTTTTATTTGCCTGTTTCACAAAAAAATATCAAGATATGTGAATTTGAATTACTTCATTCTGTTTAAAGTTGTGTTGAATCTGTTACTTGTGTATTATTCTGCATTAAAACAGCGTAGAATTCTTATTGTTTGAGCAACATTTCTGATAAAGATTTTGAGATTATTTTACAAAACCTGAAAAAGTATCTTTTGGGCAAAGCGGGTATGGGTAAAACGGGTAACCGCTTCTTATCCTTATTCTAATTATATATGAATACAAAAATGGTAGTTTCATAGGTAATTTTTGTTGTTTTGGCTGAACAAGAATCTGAATTGATAGAAGTCTTGTTTCAACATGGATAATCTTTTTTTGGTCTGACAAAATCGGATTTTTATCTCACGTATATCAATATGCAGAGAGCAATAGAATTCCGCACCCTTTCAAAAGTCAAACTGCTGGAAAAGATTGGTGTAAAGCCTTTGAAAAGAGATATCCCCAACTAACATTAAGAAAGTCAAAGCCAACGTCAGTAACTCGCCTTGCCCAGTCTCGACCCGTTTTGCCCCAGGGGCCATACCCGCTTTGGGCACCCCCTGCGGGCAAACCGGGTAAAATGACCGACTGATTAGTTCTTAAATTTTTGAAGTGATTTGTTACAAGAGAAGTGATTTTTAGTTTTTATTACAAAGTTTAATACATACTTGTACGAATTATTAAAAATATATAACTTTGCAACTGCAGTAACGTCTTTTATATTGACACAAACCTTAAGTTACCCGCTTTGGGTCCATCTCCCCTATAAATTTCTGTTGCTTAGTTTCTAATTGCCGCCATTTCCAAAACGGCACGGTGACGTTGCCGTTCTGTTGTTGTGTGCGTTGAATGGCGCCTCTCTGAAGTTACTGGTACGTTTGTGTGCTTGATAAATCCAAAAAAGTATGAAGAATCAATTAAAAAATCTGTCTATTTTCCTTTGCCAAAAAAAGAATGCGATGCGGTCGGAGATGAAAACTTTGTTAAAACGAGTAAGGGCTGATTTTACCATCGTCAGATAACTTCTAACTGAAGAATAAACTTGTCATTTTGTCATATTTCCCATACTGAAACTGTCAATGTGCCAAATTTATTCTTCAGTTAAAAGTTATCCGACGATCGTAAAATCAGCCCTAAATAAACAAAATATTGTAGAGCCGGTGCAAGAAAATGAAGATAACATGGAGTTAGAAGAGAATAGTCTTACTAAATGATGACGCAGAACCTGTGAAAATGACTTTAGAGCAAGAGCTTGAGATGGAACTTAAAAGAGAGAAGGAGAACTATAATAAACAAAAGCCAAAGCCAAGTGGTCAATTAGATTACGAAAAGGTCCTGAAAAAAGAAATGAGCGCTATAAACTCATAAACATGAGACCAAAGGAGTGCTAGGTGAACATTTATCTATGGCAGCGGTTCCCGAATGGTGGTCCGCGGAACCCTGGGGTTCCGTGGAAAGGCCGCAAGGGTTCCGTAAAAAATATTATCCCACATTTCGTGACCGATGTTGTTCGCTTGCACCGACTTGTTTACGCACAAGGGAGGGGCAGGGCGTGCGGGCGGAGTAGTACGGGGGTTCCGCTAGGAAAAGTATAATCAATTAGGGTTCCTTGGCAAAAAAAAAATTGGTAAACCCTGATCTATGGTATATGACTATTTACTGACCCTACTAAACCGACTAGTGTAGAGGCCGAAAGGGCATTCTCAGCAGCCGGCTACATAATTATGCAGTTCTGTGCGGTTGGGAGGTTAGACTATAGATAAAATTTGTCCTACTTCAAGAGGATTGAAAAAAGAAATGGTCAATCTCCTGTCGTCAGTTTATAAACTGCCTAATTTTCGCAGAAGATTATTATTTTCGGATTCGTAACTTCTATTGATACAAAAAATAGATTGCAGATTAAATTACGGTCCTTTTCGTAATTAATTTTAAAAGAATTTGTAAGACTGTTTCCTACTGATTATTAGTTACTGAGCCGTATTTCATAGATTATCGTAAGAAGTACTAATATACTATAATATAAAAATGAATCGCAAAATGTGTTGGTAAGCGCATAACTCAACAACAACGCCTGGAACAATTTTTTTTTAAATGTTCGTTGAAGTCCAAGGATGGTTTTTACGGCGAGAAAAATTCGAATAATTTCCAAGAAAACCCTAAACACATCCCTATTTCACGCAGGCGAAGTCGTGGGCGGAGAGCTAGTTACTTAATTTAAAAAAAGACTTAAAAATGTCGTCTTTTTATTTTCGTTCCACTTTTTGCTGGATCCAGCTGGATTTAGGTCAATCCAGCAAGAATCCAGCTGGATTGAAAACGGCGCTGGATTGCAATCCCTAAATACGATATGATAGGAATATAACATAAAGTATTTTATGCTAGATTTTGCTTATTATTATTCTTCTTCTTTTTGTGGTAACGTTATTAATTAAATAATCTGCTTTAATACATTAATATTTCCTAATTTACAAATGACTAATGCCCAAAAATCTAAGTTTACACGAATCGTGGAATTAAATCCATAAAGCGTTAGTCTCCATAGAAAATGACACACAACAGAAGAGAGCCGTTATATGCGAAGCGAAATTGGAACGTTTTAATAATAATAATAATAATACGTTTATTATCAGACCATTATGATCCATACATTGTGTTAGTAACAATCTTATACTTAAAAACTAGGTTAGTAGTAACTAAAACCGGTTCCTGGATCTATGCAAGTGAATATTAATCCAGTGCTTAAAGATGGGACACGATGGCCTATCTTTGATAACCGACAGGATGCTGTTGGCGCTTTCCCTTATCCTCGCAAGCATCGACGCTGTTCGTTTACGGATGATAGCGTAGAAGTCATCCACACGCGCTTCCGCGAACATAGTCGAAGCACTGCAGAACCTTGGTAGCCCCATCAGAATCCTGAAGGCATTGTTGTACTGAACCCTGAGAGCGTTATAGGTCTTTTGCGTGAAGTCACACCACAGACTGCAGGTGTAAAATGTTTGACAGAATGCCTTAAAGAGGGTAATTTTGACATCTCTTGTGCACCTGGCAAACCTGCGGGCGAGCATGGTTTTGAAACGGCCTACTTACAAAGTCCACTCCCATAGAATAGAACGCATCCAAAAAAACTTTACACGATACCTTGCTTTTAAAAGTCGCAACTGTCCCCGAGGTGCTAATTATTCCACTAGACTTTCTTTTTACAAAATGACTTCCTTGGAGAGTCGACGGAAACTACTGGATCTCATGTTTTTGCACAAGCTTATTCATGGTAGATTGACTTGTCCCGGTCTGCTTCAGCGGGTTGATCTCGCTGTTCCGTATCACATTCCAAGACTATCTACAAAAACATTCAGATTGCCCACTGCAGAACCAACCTGGGTAAGGGCGCCCCCTTGTATCGATGTATGCGTAATAACGACGTCAACGACCATGGCATCGACATCTTATTGGATTCAGACCGTTTATTCAAGGAAAAATGCATGAGCTACTTGAAGTTGTGTGATAGCCTCAGGTGATAGCTAATGGCCAAATAAGGAACTGTTGCCAAATTTTATTTTTACTGAGTTATTAACTATTCGGATTGTTTTGTTAAAAATTTTTTTTTTCTTCTATGTGTACCACAAATTGTTGAGACATTTTCATCGTCATTAAGACATTTTAAACCACATATCGTCGAGACATTTTCATCGTCATCAAGACATTTTAAACCACAAATCGATGAGACTTTTCCATCATCATTAAGACATTTTAAAACCACAAATCGTTGAAACATTTTCATCATCGTCAATAAGACATTTTAAACCATAAATGGTTGAGACATTTTCACCGTCATAAGACATTTTAGAACATAAATTATTGAGACATTTTCAACGTCATTAAGACATTTTAAACTACAAATCGTTGAGACGTTTTCATCTTTTGTTATGTCACATTTTAAACCACAAATCGTCTAGCCATTTTCATCGTCATTAAGACATTTTTTTAAACCACAAATCGTCGAGACATTTTCATCGACATTAAGACATTTTAAACCACAAATCGTTGAGACATTTTCATCGTCATTAAGACATTTTAAACCACAAATAGTTGAGATATTTTCATCTTTGTTATGACACATTTTAAACCACAAATCGTCTAGACATTTTCATCGTCATTAAGACATTTTATTTTAAAGCACAAATCGTCGAGACATTTTCATCGACATGAAGACATTTTAAACCACAAATCGTCGAGACATTTTCATCGTCATTAAGACATTTTAAACCACAAATCGTTGAGACTTTTCATCGTCATTAAGACATTTTAAACCACAAATCGTTGAGACATTTTCATCGTCAATAAGACATTTTAAACCATAAATGGTTGAGACATTTTCACCCATTGAGATATCTTTTTTTTTCATATTTGTTAAAATACGTTTTGAACGAGAAATCGTTAAGAGACATATTCGACTTTGTTAATACACATTTCGAACCACAAATCGTCGAGACTTTTCATCCTTTCGATACGATAAATTTTTATCCTTGTTAAACACATTAGGCATTTTAAATCATAAAATGGTTGAGACATTTTTGACTTTTGAGATCTTTTTTTTTTTCAAAAAAGGGATGGGCAGTGTAGGCCAAAAACTTCATTTAGGTACTCAATTACAGAGAGAGTGCTCTTGCAGTGGAGACAAAACAATCTGATGATGACGAAGAAAAGATGATACCTCAAAATCGGGATCACATTACTACCACAACACGAACGACACGACAACGAAGAATAATTATTTTGCAGACATTTTAAAACCAAATCCTACTCAAAGAAAACGACCAATGCATTTTGTTTTGTAACTTTTTTTTTTAAAGACATCACTGACTGCAATCAAAAGGTGGTATATTTTTAGGACTTCAAGCACCATGCATGAGCCATAGACAATAAACAACAAGTTATTAGTTCTATTAGACACAAATTCTTTCTATGCACAAGAACAGCATTATTTCTGACCAGCAATATCCAATTAGTTTTTTTTTGAGCAATCGAAAACCGCACTTTGCCTATTGATTAGGCCATTGTGCGTGATTTGTTTTGTGGTTTATCTTTCTACTCCAAACAAATTAGATTCCCCCTAAAAGCAAGCAGCCTATCTACTTGCAACAATACCAATTTAGTCCCGGTTTCCACCAAAGCGGAGCAGAGCGGAGAAATGTAGCCTATCTACTTGCAACAATACCAATTTAGTCCCGGTTTCCACCAAAGCGGAGCAGAGCGGAGAAATGTTTTGAATAATCAATCAGATTTCATTCAGATTGAATGAAATTGTCTGAATAAAATCTGATTGGTTATTCAAAACATCGCTCCGCCTTGATGGAAGCCGGGCTTTAACCAACGTCTGAAATAAAAGCAAAATAAATAAATAAAAAAGGTTAGGTAAATAAAAACACGTCAATATTAAACATGTGTAATTAACAACAATTATTATTATTTACAAGCTTTTCTTGTATTATATTTATTTGTCTAGAGTGATTGTAGGGCATCAGCAGCCAATATAAATACTCCATCTGTATTGTAGTGTGATTTACCCTGTTAGGGCTGATATTTCAATCGCCGGATAACTTTTATCTGAAGAATAAGTATGGCACATTGACAGTTTCAGCATGGGAAATATGTCAAAATGACAAGTTTATTGTTCAGTTAAAAGTTATCCGACGATGGTAAAATCAGCTCTTAGTGCGGCAATTCATGGATAAGATATTGTTTTTAAGACAGAAAAGGAGGTAATTGCGGACCGGCCTTAACAAATATGAATTAACTTTCTGAATGGTTTATCTTCCAATATCTTAAAATGCACAGTTTTAAACTGAAAAAACTTCTGGCAGCTTGGTGCTGCAGAAATAATCTCTCTCAAAAATTATTGACTCTATTAATATTTTAACATTTCACAGTTGGAAAAATTGGATAAGGGCTGTCGCCCACGGCGACTTTTTGTAGCGTTTCGTAAACGAGCGACAGTATCGTTACTAACGCGCGTTAGTCGCATTTGCAACGCACTACAGAAGCGAAGCAAACGCGTTACAGCAGCGTGACTGTATCGATGCAAACGCGCGACCGTGTCGGACGACATTGGGGAGAGAATGGAGGGAGGGTTACTGAATCGTGTTTACATCGCGACAGAATCGATTTTTTTATGTGGGCGAGGGCACATAGTGATCGCATTGCGACTGTATCGATGCGAATGCGCGACAGAATCGCTACTGCATCGCTACAAAAAGTCGCCGTTGGATCATTCCCACGGCAATACAGTTTAACGGTGTCCAGTGATGCTGGATCCCGGATATTATACAGTTAACAAGGCATCAAAGTTCAGAATAACGTGGCCGTATTACCATTGTGTTTAGGGCTATTATTGCTTGGCTAGGGCAGCCCTGGGTCCGGGGGCGGAGGCGCCATACAGTTGCCGTCCGGGTAGCGCTTCTTGAAGGCTGCGATCAGTTCTGGCTCCACCAAGCGGACGCCGTCGACTTGGTTGCCGAGGGTTATCCTGGGGTCAGAAATTAGCATGTTATGTACTATCGGCAACAGTGTTAACTGCCCATTGCCAGTCATGTCATCTCGTTCTATCGAAAAGAATCACCATTTGATTAGAGCGAGAGCAAAAACGGAAATGGATAGTTAACAGTGTGGCCGTGTGTACGAACGACAGCACATTTAACATCCGTATTGACAAAAGATGCTAAGATGCTTGCTAAGTGAAGCAGCAAATCGAACGCACAGCGTTGAATAGAGCTCTGTGATTGGTTCGTGTGTGACCCTGTGCGTCCACGAGCACTGTGAGACCTCATAGTAATGTTTGTGAATACGGGCGTTAGCTTTTCTGTTAACTTTTTTGTTGCAAAATAGCCCCCTATCACAATTACATAATATAAGATGCCAGTATTTAGGTTGATGTGGCATCGTCTGTATACATAGCCTTGAATAAAAATTGATAGTATCAATATATTTATTTATTTATATTTATATTTTTATTTATTTATAATTTTAGATAGTAGACTATCACAAGATATTTCACTATCGAATTATTTTTGTAATTAATACTATCGAAAGTATTATGATCACTATTAAAGCCTGGTCCGTGAGCACGTATAATTTTGTCCAATGACCCCAAGCGACTGCGACGGGCGCCCGCAGTGAGTGTGCGAGCGCGACAGCAACATAATTACGCGCGAGCGATAAGGATGGGTAGCTTGGGGTCATTGGACAAAATTCTACGTGCTCACGGACCAGGCTTTACCACCCAACTTTTTGCGACGAGGTGAGAGGGAGGGAGAGACTGAGAAGAGAGAGGGAAGAGACGGGGTGCGGGGAGTTTCGTAATGTAATCTCTTCGTCGGAGATTCCAGCCACTGTACTCACTTACTGTCTTCGTGTAAGGCTGCCCTTCAGGGCTGCTCTAATTCGTTTTAATTTATTTATTTCCATGACCAACGTCGCCATTTATTAAAATTAAGGCCGGGTAGCAGAGAAAATGGCGAAAATGAGGTTTTCATTTTTCATTTTTGAGGTACTAAACAGTAAAATTAAAGGCTAAGATTTTTATTGGGCATAGTTGAGGATATTTTCTAGGGCTATTAACGGATGGAAACACGATTTGATGAAGTTGACTCGATAGAATAAATTTCCAAAGTTACCTCTATTCGTTTTCTATTTATGGTTTTATTTTTAAGGGGGTCCTGCACGGAATCCTTAAAATTGTCATATTTTTAAATCACGAGTGCTCTGCGATTAGTGACTTAAATACATTAAAGGAACTTGTGTAGGGTAGCCCAATCCTTGATCTAGGTCGCCGCCTTTTCGAAATTTTGAATAAATACGTAAAAAATTGATAAACAACATTTAAAATGCAGATATATGGAAATTTTATTTCTTCGAGAACTTTGTTAATTTGACGTATGAAGCAATATTTTTTATATGGAAATGTTTAAATTAATATTTTGAAGGTCGCCCCTTTTTTCGTTTTTGATATTAATGCATTAATATTGAGAATTATTGATTTTCCCAAAAAAACTTTGCCGTGAAGAAATCATCAGGCGTTTTGCTTTATCGTAGCTGTCAAGTGTCAAATGTGTGTTTGTCAATCCTTTACAGAGTAGTGTAGAGCGCAGAGCATGCAAATAGTATCTCTTATGACTTCGATTGTTACGAAAAAATATTTTACTTATTTTATCTATACTTATAATAAACTAGCGGCCGCCCGCGACTTCGTACGCGTGAATCCCGTTTTTCCCGCTAATTCACGTTCCCGTGGGAATTTCGGGAATTCCTTTCTTAGTGCACCTCTACGGTACCTAAGCTACGTCCCTTCCAAATTTCAAGTGCCTACGTTTAGCCGTTTAGGCTGTGCGTTGATCTGTCAGTCAGTCAGTCAGTTTCTCCTTTTATATATTTAGATCTGTAGAGAGGTCAATTCTGTACATGAAATATATTTTCAAAATAACTATCAGGGGGTGATTAGTGATCGATACTGATGCCAAAAATGCAATCAGTAAAATTTTTGTCTGTCTGTCTGTCTGTCTGTATGTTCCTTTTAGAAACAAAAACTACTTGACGGATTTTAACGAAACTTGGTACAATTATTCTTCATACTCCTGGGCAGGTTATAGTATACTTAGGAATTCCCACGGGAACAGGAATTAGAGGGAAAAAAATCCTTTTGTATGAAAAATCTAAACCGCTTAAGTTAGACGCTTGAAATTTGGTATGTAGGTACCTTAGTAAACTTAAAGCTTAGTTACAAGAAGTAATTCCCGAAATTCCCACGGGAACGGGTATTATCGGGAAAATCCTTTTGTATGAAAAATCTAAACCGCTTAAGTTAGACGCTTGAAATTTGGCATGTAGGTACCTTAGTAAACTTAAAGCTTAGTTACAACAAGAAATTTTCGAAATTCCTACGGGAACGGGAATTAGCGGGAAAATCCTTTTGTATGAAAAATCTAAACCGCTTAAGTTAGACGCTTGAAATTTGGCATGCAGGTACCTTAGTAAACTTAAAACTTAGTTACAACAGGATATTGCAATATTCCCACGGAAACGGGAGTTAGCGGGAAAAATATTTGTATGAAAAAATCTAAACCGCGTAAGATAGTTGAAGGGGATAAAACGGGATCCACGCGTACGAAGTCGCGGGCGGCCGCTAGTTAGTAGTTAATATGGCTAGAAAACCCTTGGAACCTTTCTTTGCCGTTCGTTCGTTTCAGCTTCTCCGTTTCAAACTATACTACACTACTTACACTTGACAAGAGTGTGAAAAAGTTAGTTTGATACTTATTCAGTAAAATATGGAATTACATTTAAGAGTATTTTTATTTCTTATTACTATATATTTTATCGAATCAACCTAAAACTAGATTTTTAACACTCTTGCGGGTAAGTGGTTTTTCAAAATAAACTGATTAGATAGGATTAAATAAATAAATTGATAAAATTTTTATTTAGAGTAGTAGGTACGCGGTATTTGCGTAACTGCTCATACAGTTTAGAAGAGTTTAGTAAAAAACAGTTATTTCCAAACTATACTCGATNGTGAACTGCAACAACTATAATTTATTATCCAAGCTCTAAATAATCGCTACTACGAGTAACTGATCATAAAATGTTTTTCCAATCGCTCAAGCTCCCGAGGATCTACCGATAGGTCGGGTGACGTAATCTTGAAATTCTATTAGCCGGCGCGGAACTTCCGGAAGGTCGGGTGACGCCACGCCTCTTTGAACCGTGTTTACTTTGGCAGTTATATTCTATATTTATTCGATTCTAAAATATATTCCCAAAAATTTTGAAAGTTGTTTTAGTTTGTATCACTTGGATATGATTTGTATTAGAAAGTGCTGTGAATGTGATACTTGAACGGAAGGAAGTCAACCTAACCTAACCTAACCAACTGCGTATTTCTAAACTGCGTATTTCTATACTGTGTAGCCGCGAGAGCTCTTTGGCGCGCTGTCTTCGGCGAAGTATTGCGCGCGCAGATTTTGACAGCGCGAAATACCTACTTTAGCAGAAATACCAAGCCTTAATACAGCATTCCGCTAATCCATTATTTTTTATTAGTAAACAATGTGTTTCTATGGAGACGTCATCCATAGACATGACAGTATCCATAAGTGCACACGCACACTACAATACTGACGCTCTGATTGCTCGGATCAAACTCCCCGCACCCCGCGCTTCCCTCAACCAAAAAGTGGTGGGGCGCGTCTTCGTGGATGAAACGATCTACACTTTTAATATAAGTTATACATACCAATTGGGTTGTATATTATGTGGTCTCCCGAATAGCTCAATCTTCCTTGTGCCCGGACTGAGACGTTCTGTTGAAAAAGTTTTAAGTACAATGGGTGGCACGTGCAACTAGACAAACTAATGAATCATTACTTATGTATTGCTGTAGTATTTTAAGTCATTTAAACTGAAAGTGAAGCAAGTTTTGGCTCATCTTTAATTTATTTATAACATAAAATATTTTAAAATTGTTCACTAGACATTAGCAGTAAATTCAACAATGTAAGAGTAATAAATACTACTCACCAATAATTCCGTATATTTCGTCAGGCTTGTGCGAGGTGGCCCTCACTTCGGCCACGATGACGTCACAGTCCAGGCCTCGGTTCAGGTTCTCTGGGTTGCCTTTCATGCCCACCTGTTAATGACAACACTCAAAAGATTATGTAATTTCCCCTTAATTTAACTTTTTTGGCATTATGACCTTGTCCTAGCTGGCTACGAAGTGGGATTTTTTTCCCACTTTGTCCAGCCAGCTACGAAATGGTCCTAAGGCTTTTTTAGACGTTCATAGGCGCCAAATCTTGTCAAAGTGATGATATTTAATTTCATTTCATTGATTAGGTACACTACAGTTCGATTGTACACATAGTCATAAGGCTTTAAAAAATTGCTTTACACGTTATCTTATTACTTTAACCCTACCACTGCCTCGGGAAAATCAATGAGCCAATTTATATATAGTATTTCTAATCAAAAGTTGGTTAATTACCAGAGTCCAGAATCATCCTTTTTGGATCGACAAACAAGGTTTTTTTCTATGTACAGTCGACAGCACGTCAACGTAAACACTGTGGTATCTTACGTAGTTGCGATAGGGGCGACTTTGCAACGAAAATGTATAGTCTGATGTGCTGTCAACTGTACATAAATCACTAACCAAATCACCCCTTTTCGGATCAGACAAGACTGTATAGTATACACTGTATACTAACCAAGCAATGCTCCTTGCCGTGGTTGAGCCAGTGCCCAGTGCGGCCGGTGCGGATGATCCTCTGCAGCTGGTTGGTCTTCACCCAGATCAGTTCATCCACGCGCTCGTAGCCCCACAGCTTTAGGCACTCTCTGCCCAGCTCCATGGCTCTGGTGACAAGATACGACAATACAGGTATGTGCAATATTAATTTTAACTTTAATAGCCATTAGACTAAGTATTAAAAGTGTAATTTCTTTTTGTAAATACTACTGGTCCCCAATTGATTATTAGTTAAAACTCGTAATGCGCAACGTCGCGTGTTAGTGAAAATCTGAAAATGCGACGTTGCCAAACCGTAAACTATATCAACGTAGGCTATGATGGTGGATAGTGCGACTGGTAAAACAGTGCGTACAGACGATATTAGCTATAAGGGCCTTGCCACACTGCCGGATTAAAAAGCGGAGCGGAGACGTCGCGGATTCTCAATGTCCGTCTCGAGTTTTCGCCTCATGTCTACCGCTCCGTTTGAAAACGCTTGCAATCCGCCAGTGTGGCAGCTCACTATGGGTGATAATATGACGGTGACCGCGATCCTACAAATATTATAAATGCGAAAGTTTGGATGTCTGGATGTTTGTTACTCTTTCACGCAAAAACTACTGAACGGATTTCAAAATCCGTTCAGTAGATAAAATCAATGAAACTTTACAGTATTATTGTTTATAACCCAGAATAACATAAATAGGCCAACATATAACCATCTGTGACAAACGAAATTTCACGCGGGTGAAGCCGCGGGCAAAAGCTAGTAGTACATATTGTACAGACGTCAGCATATCAAACCACACTGTGGGGTCTTATGTACTTGTGATAGGGCTGAGTTTGCAACAAAAAATTACATTTATTTGTTTGTGTTGTGTGTGCATTCCTCACCTGCCAGTGACCCACAGGAATATAAGCCCGCTGTCCTGCAGTTGCGGCACGCCCAGACACCTCATCTCGTCGTCCGACATCGTTCCGTAGGGCAGCTCCATGTGGATGTCCCACGGCGGGTCCGCCATGATCACCGCAAACTTGCCTGCGAAACACCTGTACACTCATTAACGCCTCAGAGATTCTGCGCCGGAGAAGTGTATGCATTTGGTTTTGAATTAAATATAATGAAGAAGGTAAACTGTATGAATATGAAATTCATATTTTGTTGTTTAAATATCTATGCAAAATCGACTAAGTACCTAAATGTCATAAGACATTTGAAACTTTTAAATTATTACACTGCAGCAAAAGTAGCAGTAGGCGGCCATTGGGGCAGAAAAGTTCTCGAGTGACAACCATGGACCAGAAGACGCAGCCTGAGCAGGCCCCCCCCACTAGGTGGACCGACGATCAGGATCCAGCCCTCAAAAAAGGTTGTGGGCACAGCCACCAAAAATTAGCAAAGTGAGAGTTGGATTGGAGTACGAACTCACTCACGCTCGATTTTTTAAAGGCTCATCAGTCAGCCGTTTTTATCATCAGCCTATCGATCTTATCAATAGATCATACTTAAAACAAGCAAATTAGGGTTGTGGGCATGAGGCTGGAAGAGCCTGGATGCGGGCAGCGCAGGACCGGTCATTATGGAAATCCTTGGGGGAGGCTTTGTCCAGCAGTGGACGTCATTTGGCTGAAATGATGACGACGATGACTATGTCGACAAGTAACATAAAAATGTAACAAATGTTTTACTCACGAATTACTATTTTCTTTATGAATTAACAATCATTCACATAAGTAATTATAGTGTAATTTTAGAATTAAAACTTACCTAAGAATGTCATGTCAAGATACCGCAGATCGCACTGCAGCCATTGTGGTGGAGTCAATGTCAATACTCCATCAGGCTTTGACACCACACTTGCACCTAGAATAAAAAGACAGTGAAAAATTCTGCAATTCTGTGTTCAAAAATTACAAATTATGTAACAGTAAAATCAGTAAATGCTAGTATTGAACCAAAATAATATAGTAATTTTATCCTCTATGGCTAAGTCAATTTTTATAGTCAGAAGAATGTATAGTTGTAGTTAAAATGACTTACCATTTTGTGCAATCTTCTGTGAAGATTCAGTTGTTATTTTGTTGGAATTTGCATTTGGATCCGTATTGTCCACTTCGTAGTGCACATACCTGTAAATAAGTTTGATTTGTTTAAAATTTCCTTTTATCCTACTGTATCAAAAGTGTATAATTGTTGCAATTCACGAAGGCAAGTGAGCTTAGATCGTTTCATCCACGTAGACACGCCCCATCATTCTTCCGCTAATGTATGAGTGTTATCGGTACACGCAAAATTATCCATGACTGCTCACGCACACTATAATAATTACGGAATAAACTCCCCGCAAATAGACAGTTTGACACCATACCCCAATAATTCGAAACCACAACTGTTTTAAAAAGACTCTTCATTCTGGTCTTAAAAACCTGATTTATTTTAAATTACCTGTAAATTTCGATTTTTGTTTGAATTGTAATTGAAAAAAGTAGTTTAATTGGGTTGACAAAATAGTGACGTCACTTGCTTGTAGTGCCATACAAAATCTATGGGAGAGTTTCGTTTTGACAGTTTTAAAAAGTACGTCAATTGACTGTGGTGTCAACATGTCTATTGGTGGGGCGCGTCTTCGTGGATGAAACGATCTATACATGTGTGGTGGCTCGCTACTGTTAGTTTTTCAAAAGTTTTGATAGACATTACACTATCGTTATGTGCCTGTACACGTACACAGCTCGTAGAGACGATGACCGTTGGGGCAGAAAAGTTCTCGAGTGGCGACCACGGGCTGGAAGACGTAGCGTGGGCAGGCGTCCTACTAGGTGGACCGACGATCTGGTGAAGGTCGCGGGAAAAGCCTGGATGCGGACAGCGCAGGACCGTTCATTGTGGAAAACCTTGGAGGAGGCCTTGGTCCAGCAGTGTACGTCATTTGGCTGAAACGAACGAACGAACACGTACACACACAAGTAAAGCTCACTCGCCTTCGGAAGTTGCAAGAAATACAGGGTGACTGGAACTGAACCCGCCATAGCTAATACGCGTATAGAGGAGGTCATTTGCTAATTATTGAACCTTACTTTCTATAGTTTAGGAGATATGTCAATTTTTAAACTTTTTTCAGATTTTTCCGAAATTTTACCTAAAAACTGCTTAAATTTTTTTCTCGCATGATTTTAACCGATTTTTTTATTTGTTACTAATATCGAATAAAGTTAAATAAAATAAATTTCAGATCCAGATAATGATTGAATAACTAGCCACGAGCCGCCAAAGTTCAACAAAAGTACAAACCACGATAAAAAATTAAAGTTCGAATTCGATTTAAAAAAAAGCTAATGGTGATAATGGATTGCAATGATCTTCGGAAAAATCTAAAAAAAGTATGAAAATTGACATATCTCCTAAACTATAAAACTTTAGTCATAGAAAGTAGGGTTCAATAATTAGCAAATGACCTCCTCTATACGCGTATTAGCTATGGCGGGTTCAGTTCCAGTCACCCTGTATAAGTAAATTAACATATCCACACATACTTGCAGCTATCCATATGGAAGCAGGTGTTCAGAAACGAGCAGTCTCCCAGCGATTCGTCCGTATGACTCTGTATAATCTTCTTGAAGTGGAGTTTCTTACAACTGTACCCCTGCACTTCTGTACCATCTGGTTTCTGAACCGAGAACGCTCGAACGCATTCCGCGCGGGTGCCGTGCGGGCAAAACTCCATTACTTGGGCACCTATAAACAAAAAACTGTTAGTTCTAGAATATTCTATGTTCCCACGATGTATAGATCGTTTCATCCACGAAGACGCGCCCCACCAATTTTTGATCGAGGGAAGCGCGGGGTGCGGGGAGTTTGATCCGAGCAATCCGAGCGTCATTATTGTAGTGTGCGTATGCACTTATGGATAATTTAGCGTGTACCGATAACACTCAAACCTAAGCGGAAGAATGGTGGGGCGCGTCTTTGTGGATGAAACGATGATCCTAAAAAAAGGTTTTGGTTCGTCAATTTGAAAATCAAAAAACATTGGAATATTTTTATTTGTCAATCAAACAAGTAATTACGATGTTATGGTGATTTGAGTTCCGCGTGACGTCACAAAGTCACTCTTTTAAGTACTCCTTGACGTCACATGCCTTTTCCGAACTTCGGCGTGCTTTATCTCTTTAAATTTTTCATTAGTTTGAAAAAGTAAAAATATGTGTAGTCTTTTTTGATAAGTTGACTGATGAATTTATTCATTCAATAACTTGCTGCTTTTTTACACAAGAAATATCCCTATTAGACTATTCTATGCTTTACTTTCACATAAAAATGACAATAATCTTGCTTGACCAAAATATATTACATAAGAATTTGGTACCATACCTCCTTGACTTTTAAATTTGTCTGCTAAAGACTTCTCTTTAGCTGTGGGCTTGCTCAACAAATCCATTATCTCTTCTCCCACTCTTTTGACTGCTTTTTCTCTGCTCGAAGGCATTGCCAGTAAAGACTGTAAGAAGAAATAAAATTGAAATATGTGTAATAGAATAGAATGTGTGTGTAATGGGGCACACTGAAAACCAGCGTCGTGGCCTTCCTCACAGGGGGCCACGGCATATGCTGAGTGGGGTCCCATTGCGATGGACATCGCTGTGCGACAGTGTGGCACTGCTCTGTTTACTTTCTCTTCCATTGTATGTTTTATGTCACCTCTGTCTTATTTGCTTTTTTTATTTACATCTTTTGTCTTTTGTGATGTCCATGGCAATAAATGTTTCTTTCTTTCTTTCTAAATACAAACTTGTATGTCTAAAAGATGCCTACATATTCAAGTAATTTTAAAATTAAGTTACTATTCAAGTAATTTTAAAGTTAAGTTACATTCAAAATATTATGAAACTTACTCATGAAACTTGGCAAGTTAGAACGAAAATAATAGTATCAATTCTAAATAGCTAATTAATACACTCGCGAGCAAAAATATAGAATCAGCCTATTTGTTTCAAGGGATCACAAAAACTAAATGACCAATAGAAGACAAATAAAAATGGTACCATTTTAAAGGTAATATTTTATTTTATTTGTTTAACAATGTTTCAACAGCATATAAACTTTAAATTGATACCACAGATACATGCATAGTCATTCAGTTCTTAAGATCGCTCGGAACAAAACACAAGGTGGTGATTCCATATTTTTTCTCGTAAGTATAAATGTATAATAATTTTCAGATGAAGGCAAGGCAAACTTACCATTATATCTGTATCACCCTTTGCAACCTTCTTTTCATCTGGCAAAGTCTTTGACACTTTCGGTTTTGTGCTTTGTTCAACAACATCCCCTAAGAAGAAACAAAAATAATATAAAAGTTTCAAGTTATATTAAGTTGAGTATAGACAAGAGTATTTTTATGTATAGTTGTTGCATTCATGAAGGTGAGTTAGCTTTACATGTGTGTGGTGGCTCGCTATTGTTCGTTTTTCTAAAGTTTAGATAGATTTTACACTATCTTTACGTACACACACAAGTTAAGCTCACTCAGCTTCAATACAATACAGGTAAAGTGACTGATTCATAACAACATAAGACACTACACATTTCAGAGAGCAGTAGAGAGTTGTTCTGTTACAAATAATGCTCTGGCTAGTCTAGACTAACCTTTAAATAGTAAGTTAAACTGTGAATATTTGACAATACCTTTCCTCTTATGGCTAGTGGATTGTTCTTCCATAAGAGCAGCAAGGACTGCAGCAAGTCTTACGGACTCTGCACTGACCACTTCAATACCACCGTCTGTTGTAGTCTCTGTTCTTTCTCTTATACTGTAGGCAAAGTTACAAAAATTTATTATTATACTGCATATTTCCATATTATTTAATAGACCTTAGCTAGTTTTCCATAGTTGTATACAAACTACAAACATGCATTGTGTATGGACTAAGCATTTATTTTCAAGTATTATTCTAGGTTAAATGTAGTAGTTTGTAAGCCTAAGTAACTACAAAGATTAGCTGTTCATAACTATAATCGTTTATTCACTCATGCAACTGGCAATAGAGTCATATTATAACTTACGTAATCAACTTCTGAGTGGCAAATTTTTCAAGTAAACTGGCCACGATCCCTGCATCGACATCTCCAAGGCCTGGCAACAGAGCGCTGGCCGTTGCCGGCAACTGGAGTTGCATGTCTGAGAGCACTTGCAAAAGACGCACTTCCAGCGAAGCTGAAGGCACTGGTGGTTTTTGTTTTTCAGCAGAAGTAGGCGCTGCAACTACAATATTTTTACAAGTTAAACGAATGCATTTGGGTAGGTAGAAATCAACGTTAGATGTAACAGAGATGGATGGCATCTCAGGGAAATAATTGCTTAAATAGAAATTTTAACAGTTGATGCAGTTTATTTAATATACATAGCTATAATGTGAATGTAGGTACAAAAAGTAGGTGAGTAAAACTTTTAGGGCAGTTTTGTATTGAATATGGTTAACATCAAACACCTGGAGGATTCACAAGCATTTAGAAATCGTACACAGCAATTTAGCCTGATTTAAAATGTATAACAATGCTAACCTATAATAATTATAGACTTACCATCAGTTTTTTGAGGAGCCGGACTAGATACACTGCGTTCTTTACCACCTGGGGAGCCCTCAGACTTCTCGGGGACCGTTAAAGTGGCTCCCAGAATATTCTGTCGTTCTTTCTTCCGTTTCTCAAGCTTTTCCCGCAAACTGTTCCTTTTGCTTTTGACGGCTTGAATTTCTTCCCAAGCGTCAGACATTTTCACAAAACAACACCAAATTGGCAACCGGTCGGTACGATTCAGTCAGTAAGTAATTCAAATCCAAAATGAAGCTAAACTAAAACTAAACCAGGCCCAGCTAGCCATTGATGTCTTTTATTTCGCAACCGAGAAGACGAGAAGAAAACTGTTTGTAAACTAAATTATTAGAAAGGCTACTGCAGTCACTGCACTAGTGACTAGGTACATCTAAACTTAACTTAACATTGCCCCCCTGTCATTGAGTTTGGCGGGACAGTTCAGCGTGGGTCATCTATATTTCTGCAAGAGGTAAAAGTTGACAGTTATAATTTCGAACACAGATTACTTATTATTTCGAAATTATAATCAGTGTTGCCAGAAGGTTACTTTTGTAACCTTTTAGGTTACTTTTGAACTGCTGTGGTTACTTTTAGGTTACACTAATGAAAAGGTTACTTTTAGGTGATTTTTCAGAAATTGTAGAATTAACTTTACAGGTTATTCAGTAAAAAATATTAATAGTGACAATTTAAAAATTATGTCATAAAGTGCATTTAAACTTGAATTTGATTTATTATTTCTTAAAAAAAATTAGTTTTAGCGAATGTTTTTCGATAATAAAACGCAAATCCATGAAACGTTTTTATACGACTGTAGGCCTAAGATGCGCGCATCGACAATGACATGATATGATAAGACAATTTTCGATCACGTAGATAATTTTATCATTTTCCCTAACATGGAACCATCGATAGAAAAGTCTATCGACCGCTATCGCGTGATAACCGAATTGTTGCCATATTAAGAAAAAATTGCGTTATTATGTTGGCCAACCTTGAAATATTTTAGCTCATTCGTTCAATCTCGTTCATTTCTGCTACTAATTCGGCTAAAAACACATATCTTAAAGCAGTGAGAACGTCATTAAAAAAAAGTTATGTCAATTTTGTTGACATTACATGACTGCTTGATTGTATTTGTTTGTGTTTTTTAAATTGTATTTTTATGTTTCCAGTCTTATTTTTAATATTTCTAAAGTACGGAAAATATCAAACGAAGAGATAACCAAGTTAATGAAAAACAATGAAGAATTCCTAATCATACCGACAGTATTAAAGAATGAAGTCTTCAAAATTAACAGAATAACCGAACTCCACTACCTACCCCATAATGCGAGGTTTACAGTAATTATTCAACTTACATGAAGCAGTCAGAAAGTTACAAAAAAAAAAAACAAATCTATCACTATCACATTTTGACAGATGACATGATAATTTTCGGGGTGCCATGTTAGCGCCGGTAGATAAAACGATATAGTGACGTCAAAATCGATATAACGCCGCGATAGCAGTTTATCACGGCGCGCATCTTAGCCCTGCTGGTCACTTTTCGAATTTAGATGATAAATTGATCAATTTGGGCTGAGTTGCACCGTCTTACTTTGCCTTTGACAAACGTAAAAATCTGTCAAACTCCATACGAAAAGCACCGGTTATCGTTAATAATTAAAGTTACGGTTAAGTTAGGTGGTGCAACTTAGCCATATTGTTGTATGAAATCAAATGGACATATTATGGGATCGAATTATTATAGTATGCCTTAGTTTTACAACACTATCGAACATTGTAGATTCACTGTTAACCTATTTTCTAAAAAATAGACAAAAGTAAATCCAATACTGTCTGAATAGAACAGCATCATAGTTTTATGACAACAGATGACAACATGATGACATGAGAAAACGAACTTCTAAACAAACTAGGTACATCTCAAATCAAAAGATTCGAATTTTTTGTGATCTTGATTTATATACCAATTTTTTTAACATCATGCCCTTCGCCCCTGAATTAAGAACCCATTCTCAAAAAGTGTGTAGTCTGTATAAAGCAGCTTGCAGACTTATCGAATCTTATTATGTTGCAAAGTAAGTACGTTATTCATCATCATCATCATCATCATTTCAGCCATAGGACGTCCACTGCTGAACATAGGCCTCCCCTAATGCTTCCCACGTTGATCGATTGGTAGCGGCCTGCGTCCAGAGCTTCCCTGCTACCTTTACGATGTCGTCGGTCCACCTTGTAGGTGGACGTCTCACGCTGCGTTTTCCGGTACGCGGCCTCCATTCCATTCCAGAACATTATAGCCATTAGAGCCATTAGAGCCAACAATTTTTCTTATATTTTTTATTAATTTAGGCTCACAATTTAATACAATTTGGCTTTACCTACTTTTTTAGGTATTGTATACGATACCATCAAGTAATACTACGCAACGAATTTGATAAAAATAAGTGCGTATGTGATCCTCAAGAACAACGTCGTTTGCTTTGGTCTGGTGAAAGTGAGGTTTTTATGCACAAAAATCCCATTCCAAGCGCTAAGTGTAAGTTACTTAATTTCTATAACAATAGCTGAGAACAAAAGCTAAAAAGTAGTTGTGTACAACATAATACATAATGCGTGTCATTCTGAACCTTTAGTGATAGTCCTAGTCTCCTAGTTGTCCTAGTCTAATATTTATTGGGTTTTTGATTTTACTAGACATCAAAATACAGAATCTGGGATGCCTACTTTACGTACATTAGGGACGTAGGTACATCCTGAGATGTAACTTACCCTCTCTTGTCCATTCGCTAATACATTTTAAAACTGTGGCTGATTTTTTCTATATTATAATTTCCCGGAAAACCATGGCGGAAAACCGATTCTGGAGCCTGTATTAGCCACAGTTATTGAGATAAGTCTAAGTTAGTTGGAACTATTAAAACTGGAGGTTGAATGATAGAAAAATATGCTAACAATAATGGATCTAATCCTAATTTGTTGGTCATTATAAATTAATAAAAAAAGTAAAAGAGTAATTAGTGGAAAATGACTATCACGTAGGTAGATAGGTAATTATCTCTAACAATAATTAAAAACCAACTTCATTTTCAGTCGCAAAATCTTTAGGACTAGCTGCTGGAGTTGCACATGGGCGCGTTGTTGAGCCACCAGATTGGGTACTAGACTATTGGCATCCACTTGAGAAAGCGCAATACCCTGAATACTTCAGAAAGCGTGAATGCAGAAAATGCGAATATATTAGGAAATGGAATAGTGGCACTTTGTATTAAAATGTTATTGTGATTTATTGAATAAAATTTATCGTGTTCTATGTTCAAAAAGTTATTTCGTTATTAAATTAAACCTTCGCCACACACATCGCGATAACGTTCGGGCGAGAGAGGGAGGAGCGATGTCTTGCGAATCTTGCAATCTTGCGACTATATAATGTAGGTATACAAACCATCGAAGTAGGTGATACGCGCGATAGTGCGAATTTTCGGATTTTCGTGATGTATGTGGGGTTAGTAATACATAAGTTCGATATTGTTGCAAATGTCTCCAAGCGAGACTTATTACGCAAGACGTATACAAATCTTTGCTTTGTTGAGGCTATCGCACACGCTACCAACACAGTGCTGTCTCGCTCGTAAACATTTATGAAGAGAGTGAGGTTCGAAATAGCTAAAATACAAGCATAATACTAAATACAAGCGTATTCGACATTATTAAACACATAAAAGATGTGTTTGTGTTGTGATTCAATTAGTTATTAATGTTCGCTTCAACTTTTATTGAGTGATACCGTTTGCTTTAACGTTTTTTGCGCGATATTACTTATCGATAACATTTACTATCTGTGGTATAATATTTATGCATCACTAATGGACTTTTTGGCGGGCTTTTGAACGCACTAGGCGCGATTTTCGAAGCCAATTTTGTATTTCTCTCTTTTTGTGTTATAAATAGTTATCTATCTATTGGAAGTCGTTAAGTCAACTTAAAACTCGACTATGCCGGACGGGGACGGTAAGGACCCGCCCAGGGGCAAGGAAAAAAGGAAGGCACCAAATAGAGATCACACCTATACGAGTGCAGATGAAGATTTCTACAAACCGTACGTAAAACCAGGGTATAGAAGGCTATTCGCGGAGAACACGGTGAGTGGCGAGTTTTCTGTATTTGTGGAAAGCACGAAAGAGAATGAGAAGATCGGGAACAACAATCCCATCCTGACTACCAACCTTTTCAAAAATGAAATCAAGGGCATTACCAATCTTAAAAGAATTAACGCCAATAAAATATGTGTCACATTTTCCCAGTCTAGTAATGCCAATAACTTCCTGAAAAACGATCCCTTCCTAACCAAACACCAACTCAAGGCATACATCCCAGCCACAGCAGTAGAAACAGTCGGCGTGCTTCGCTTTGTACCCACTAGTATCAGCAATGAGGAACTTTTTAAGAAACTCTCGTCATCTTACGAGATCATAGGTGTACGTAGGTTCACCAAAAAAGACAACGGCGAAATAAAGCCCTTCCAGTCTGTGTCTATCACATTTTTATCAACTGTGTTACCCGAACATGTGTATCTAGACCTTTTTAGGTTCAGAGTATTCCCATACAACGCTCCATTGTTGCAATGCTTCAAGTGTTTCAAATTCAACCATGGTGCTAAAATTTGTAAATCTGTGCAAAAATGCTCAATATGTTCTGAAGAACATCATTTTTCTGAATGTACTTCAAATAAAATAGCCAAATGCATAAACTGTCAAGGAGCTCATCTTGCGATTTCACGGGACTGTCCTGTCAAAAAACAAAAAATGGAAGATAAAAAAAATAAATTAACTTACGCTAATATGGTCTCCAGCAGTGCTGCGGCTACTAAGAGTAGCCCAGTTATCAAAAACTACATAAGCGAGTTTCCTCTACTGGCTGCTCCTAAAACTAACTTAAAATCTATTGCATCAAGGAAGCCACAAGCTAGCTCGGTTTCAACAGCGACCTCTTCCACTTCAACTAACTCGATGGAAGTTAAAGAAAAAGAACCACTTACCAATGAACAATTAATAGATGAAATATTAAACAATGATTTTATTCGCAAGGGCCTTGTAGGCGCCCTTGTCGCTATTGGCAACGAAACGAGGGCAGTTAATAGTTCTATTATACAGGAAATTCTTATAAAAAGTTTCAAAGGGCTTTAAATGGATAAAAGTTTCATAAGAATCTCTCAATTTAACGTCGAAGGTGTTATTAACAAAAAGCCATTACTTATAAAATTTTTGATTGATAATGATATTGATATATGTTTGTTAAACGAAACATGGTTGAAAGAAAACAGTTCTTTTCGTATTCATAATTACAATCTAGTTAGTAAAATAGGTAAAGAAAAAGAAGGCCGGGGTGGAGTCGCCATCCTAGTCAAAGACACTTTGAAATATTCAGTAATAGAGCTTCCCTTTTATGATTTTCTACAACCTGTAGCTATTAATCTGCGAACTGGCATAGGTAATTTAAGTATTCTATGTATATATTGTCCACCACCTAAAGAAAATAGATCAAGATTCAATGGTAGCAAACTGAAACAGATTATTAACTTACTACCTAAGCCACTTTTGCTATCAGGTGATATTAATGCTCACCACATCGCATTCGGCTGTGCTACTAGTAACGGTCGAGGTAATGAAGTTTACAATATATTTGACGAGAGCGACCTCTGTATCCTCAACTCAGGGGCGCCAACCACTGTTGGTAGATCTGTTCATAATCCTTCGGCTATTGATGTAACATGTGTCAGCCCTTCAGTAGCTCCATTATGTGATTGGAAAGTCTATGATGATCCAATGGGAAGTTATCACTATCCCACTGTAACAGATATTCAGACTTCTGTTGATAAATATCAGATAGGTGAACCAGTACACAAATTTATTTACAATAAAGCTGATTGGTTTAAATTTCATACTGAAACAGAAAACATGGTAGTTAATATTAATTTAGATAATACAGATCCATTAAGAATTTATGACGATTTTTATAATAATTTAATTAGTATTAGAGACAAATGCGTACCTAAAGTAGTCAAAACCTCTCCCAATATAATGAAAAAGCCTGTACCTTGGTGGGATGATGAGTGTAATAGTGCAGTTAAAAAGAGTAAAGATGCTTTAAATTTTTATAGACGTAATCCAAGCATTGACAACTACATTGCATATAAAAAATTGGATGCTGCTAAAAAACTAACTCTTAAGGAAAAAAAGAAAACTGGATGGAAATCTTTATGTGAATCTTTTAATAGATATACTCCTGTTAGTACAGTATGGAACTATATGAAGAGGTTTAAGCGTGTTTCAATTCCCAAACTGCCGAAGAATGATGAATGGATTCCCTCTTTTTTTGAGAAATATTCTCCTCTATCTCCTCCTGAAAAACAAGTAAATAATTCATTATTGCAAACATATTTCTCTCAAATTGGTGATGAAAAAGCAGCTTTTTTGTCTCAACATTTTTCTTGGGAAGAGTTTATGACTGCTCTGCAGTCTCGTAGGAACACTACTCCTGGTTTAGACAATATTCCTTATGAAGTTATTCGTCGCCTACATATTAATGCCAAAAAACTTTTACTCTACATTTTTAATTTACTATGGCAAATTCCAATCTGTGTCTATCACATTTTTATCAACTGTGTTACCCGAACATGTGTATCTAGACCTTTTTAGGTTCAGAGTATTCCCATACAACGCTCCATTGTTGCAATGCTTCAAGTGTTTCAAATTCAACCATGGTGCTAAAATTTGTAAATCTGTGCAAAAATGCTCAATATGTTCTGAAGAACATCATTTTTCTGAATGTACTTCTAATAAAATAGCCAAATGCATAAACTGTCAAGGAGCTCATCTTGCGATTTCACGGGACTGTCCTGTCAAAAAACAAAAAATGGAAGATAAAAAAAATAAATTAACTTACGCTAATATGGTCTCCAGCAGTGCTGCGGCTACTAAGAGTAGCCCAGTTATCAAAAACTACATAAGCGAGTTTCCTCTACTGGCTGCTCCTAAAACTAACTTAAAATCTATTGCATCAAGGAAGCCACAAGCTAGCTCGGTTTCAACAGCGACCTCTTCCACTTCAACTAACTCGATGGAAGTTAAAGAAAAAGAACCACTTACCAATGAACAATTAATAGATGAAATATTAAACAATGATTTTATTCGCAAGGGCCTTGTAGGCGCCCTTGTCGCTATTGGCAACGAAACGAGGGCAGTTAATAGTTCTATTATACAGGAAATTCTTATAAAAAGTTTCAAAGGGCTTTAAATGGATAAAAGTTTCATAAGAATCTCTCAATTTAACGTCGAAGGTGTTATTAACAAAAAGCCATTACTT